ATTGCTCCAACAGAGAATGAGTTGGACTCTGGAAACTCTAAAAGAAGTTTGCAGAAATGTTTACCAACTTCTTGCCCCATTGTATTAGTCTTATCCCATCTCCTAGCTTGTCCTCAAGATTGTAAGATCCTCAAGCCAAGGTGGGATTGGCTATCAGCAGCTATGATTGGAAGAATAAATTCAACAATGTGGTAGAGGCATCTTACAAAACCCAGTTTTCAATTATTCTTCCTTCTCAAGTTTCCATCAAGAGCTACTACTCTATGATGCAGCAGAAGAAAGTGAAACAGAAACTTACTTTCAATAATCTTTTGTCAGTTTAATGTCCAAATTCATCCTGATGGATTGACAGAGCATATTAATTATTCATGTATCTTTTTTTAAAGATAACTTTATTAAATTTTAAAATAGAAATAGTAAAAACTAACAAAAACTAATATTAAAGAAAGAAAATAAGAAAAAGAAAGGAAAATTACAAAGAAAGAATGACCAAAGTCAAAAGTGTGAAAAAACGAAGAAAGAAAAAGAACAATAACCTTAACCCTCCTCACAACAGATATAAGTTACAATATACATCACTCTTGCTCTAAGTTTAAAACATAACTTTCGTTATTACTATAAACCCATATTATTTCTAATAATCAAATCCATACAACATAATTTCATTTTTTTCTGTTTCCCACAGAAAGTCCAAAAAAAGTTTCCAATTAACATTAAAATTACCCAGTGTCTTTTCTCAAATCAAAGCCATCAGTTTCACCATCTCAGCCAACTCCATCAGCTTCACCATCCATTCTTCCATTGTAAGTAATATCATATCCTTCCACTGTACTGCTGTTATCATATATAAGAACAAAATTCCATAAATTTAATAGCAAATGTATTTTAACTTTAGTCAAAAATAAATCCATTTTATAATCCAACTTATCATTTTCTCTAAAAACAAACAAACATGCAAATGTCATATCTTCCCCCTTATACACAGATCCTTAAAACCATGTCGTTCAATTCTGGTTCCAAAAAAATCCCATTGATAACTACCAAAACCCTCAACATATATATTAACCATAATCAAATAAGTTCACTTTGTAAATCTTTTGTTTACCCTTTAAAAAGTTTAATCTTTAATCCTTTCAAATAGTGTCCCACAATTTGATTCTCCATCATTCTCTCCTTGTCTTCTCCCAGAAACAGCTCCAGTAATTTCTCTTTGTCTCTTCCCAGGAGCAGCTTCACCAGTTCAAAATATTCCTTTTGCAAATCCAAAATAAAAAGTCTTTCCAAGTCACTCATCTTTTCTATTATTTGTATGTCCCCTTTGATCATTATGACATCAATTGGTTTCATTTGCAAATCTGTTCTGGCATAATTTTCCATGTCACTCTTATCTTTTGGCATTTTTAAATCCATTTTCAAATCCACAGCATCTTTGTTCATACCACCTTCATAATCCAGCATTTTTTTTATAGTTCAAATCCACATTCAAATCAGTCTCCATCTCTATTTCATAATTAACCATCTTATCCAATCTTTCCTCTATCTTTTTTTCAAGAGACTTGAATTTAGCTTCTTATTCATCAAACATTGATTGGTGTAAACTTAAAGAAGTTGTTTTATCTTCTAACAGCTGCTCCAAAGGGCCTCTTCTAACCATTTTTTTCCTTGAAGCAAGCAGCCGTAGGTATAGTATAAATAAGCAGACAGTTCATGCCCTCTGCTCGGTTACATGCTGTAATTGCAGGCATGCACCAACAAAAAATACACAGAGGACTCAAATTACTATCTTCTGTTTTGAAAATGCAGCCAATCAACAAGCATATCACAGAAAAACGAAAAATTTTCCCATAGAAAAATCAAATCCAATTAATACAGATGGAGTTTCATAAAATTAAACTTTTAACAAATAGATTTTCCCCATTCACCATAAGTAGCTTTTATATCTTTTTTGTATTTTCCTTATGTTCCAGCTTTTTGTGAATTGTTCAAATTACAATAAAACTCTAATTCTTCTTTTAAAGTTATAATCCCAGAAATAATGTAATATAAATAAAGTAATTTAGAAATAGGGTTTGGCCAGCTATAGTGTCCATATTTAGGCTGCACCACCGCTGTGGACAAAGATGGAACCCCCGCCTCCCAGCCGCTCGCTCTCAAGCTTCCGTTTCTGCAATTAGCTTACAAGGAACAGCCACCCAAGAATAAATGGGTTGATTTCTGGCTTCCTCCTTAATCTGGAGCAAGTTGGGTGGCCAGCGCTTGTGCCAGCCACCAATCCAGCTGCAATGCTGTCTCCCCTCATGGACACAACTAAACCACCATTGTCCCCACCTGAAGTCTAATTATTCATGTATCTTGATTATCTGTATCAGTACAAAGACAATTTTTATATTACCTCCTCAAATACCTATCTAGTAGTCTAATATATGTTTTATACTCTTTTAACAAATGTTAAACTATAACTTTAGAAAGGGTTTCTATAGATTCTGGTATTTTAAGGTGATATTTACAAAATTGTAGAACATTTATGATCTAGGTATTTCAGATATTCAGTGTTTAAATCACAATTATCAGAATTACCTTGATGGCATGGTTTATCTTACAACTAAAGGATTTAGTTAAGTACAACTTAACTAAAAATGTATAATAATAAAACCTTTGTGTTTGCATATTCCTTAGTTAAAACCAGAACTTTATCTCATTATCTAGTATGGTCTAAGTGATATCTAATTACTGTAGATATCATGTACAGATAATGTATATCTGTAGTCTACATCAAACATGTTCAGGTTTTTCTAAACATTTTACCAGCTGCTCTGATACTTCTTGCGTTAATATTTCTTTGACCCATCTTTTGTGTTTTGGTGGGGACTTATGTTTAATTATCTGCTCTATGTGCTGAGATCACTATTTCACAATTATTAATAGGCAGGCCTTTTCTATACAGTAATGCACTCTGGAATTCCCTTCCTTTGAAATTCATGAGACATCTACTATGACATCATTTATTCATCCTGTTAAAAAAAATTTCACTCAGGCTTTCCAGTATGAATGTTGGATGGATATTTAATGAATGTGGGATTTTCTACTGTTTAACTTATTCTTTCTATTATTGTGTATGTGTAGGTGTGCACATGTATGCGGATGGATGGATGGATGGATGGATGGATGGATGGATGGATGGATGGATAGATAGATAGATAGATAGATAGATAGATAGATAGATAGATAGATAGATAGATGAGCCAAGTTGGCTAGTGGTTAAGATGCTGGTCTAGAAACAGGGAACCTGAATTGTAGTCGGGTCTTAGGCACAAAAGCCAACTGGGTGACCTTAGACCAGTCACTCTCTCTCAGTCCTATCAAGAAGGCCCTAGCAAAGCCACTTCCAAAAATTCTGCCTAGAAAACTGCATGGACTTGTCCATGTGGTCACCCAGAGTCAACTCTGACTTTAAGACATACAGACAGAAAGAAGGAAATGCTTCAATATATTAAATAAGTAATAATTGCCTGAGGACCATACCTTTGACCATGCCTTATTAGTCATTTCTTCAACTTATGCATATAGATCTATGCATATGGAGCCTAATTAAATATCAGATAGTGTTTGCTAAGTTATTTTGCATTTTGTTAATAGTTTTTATAAGAAATATATTTTAATATACAGTATATGGACTATTCTAGTTATTCTAATTATTCCAGTAAAGGTGACAAATTTTATCTGCTTATCTGAAATGTAATCTTGGTCATCATTTACTAAATTTTTCTTCCTTTTCATAACCCCATTTTACAAGGTTATCAAATGATTAAGATAGATAATGGGGATATTTTGCAATTTTACTTGCATATATTTCCATCAATTTCAGCTTTTTCCTATATTCCTTTCATTTTGCTTTACCCATCCTCCACATGTTTTCCTTCTAAGTATCCATATGTTCAAATTTCCTTTTGTGCTTAAAAGGAAGTTGCTACTGTTTCAGAAGTACAGCTTTGTAGATAAAGGCATTAAAACAAGAAGGCCATCTGTCCATTTGGAAGGCTAAGTTGACAGTGAATTGCAGTGTCCAGACCCATTTAGTCAATGGCCTTTCTACTTGAAATGCCATGTAATAATGCTTTGTGTATTAGGACAAAGAGTAACTTCTCAAGAAAGAGAAAAGTGCTGCCCAAGGCTATATAGTCAAGAACGCTTAAATAAGTTATAATTTTCTGCACCACTACTAAAGACAACACAGGTTTGCCTTTAGCTAAAAACTCCTTTCTGTTTCTATAGCAAGAAGGAATACATAGTAGAGTTGCTTGAACTGAAAATTCTGGATTCCTAGTTCCTTCCAGGATCAACAAAAACTAATTTTAAGATTGTAGTTATTTTTACATGTGAGATTGATGCAACCTTTTCATATTACATCCAATACCTACCCAATCAGACAAATCACTTTATGCAGCTTTGTTTGGATTGCTGTTTTAAGTCAGGAGGATGTCATACACATACAGATACACACATATGTCACTTGACTACCAGTTGTGGGAAAAGCAAGCAAGGGATGCTTTTTCATTTATGTCCTACTCTTGAGTGTCCCCTGGTTAGCCAATATGGGAACAGAATGTTGGACTAAATATTAGGGATGTGTAATATATTTTGAATTCAAAATATTTTAAGTTTAAAACATTTTGAGTTCAAAACAGTCTCACCTTACTATTCTGAGCTTGAAACAGCTCTGTTTCTGATTTGCATATGGTGTTCTGAGTTCATATGGAGCTGATGTGTTGAGCACAAAATGGAATTGTCAGAACAGCGCTGCAACACCATGTTGATCTTGAAATTACTCTTCAAGTTTGAAACAGAACATTTAAAATTCAAAATGTTTTGTAGATCCCTGCTAGCCATGTCTTTAGCCTGATTGAATGTAGTTATACTAAAGATGTATGGTTCATTGTTATGATGAATTTTTCAAAGACGTTAGACTGTTCATATACTTTCTCTTCAATGTTTTGTTTCAGGAAGCAGTTTCACAACATCATCTGGAATATATGCTGGAAATAATTCACTTACAAATTCTACTGGATTCAATGGTTCGCAGCAGGTAAATATGAGAGGTGGGGTTATTTGAACGTCTTTCTCACTTTTCACTAAAGTCTCAGTGTAGCTTTCCTATAAGCATGAAAATGGATTTCCTGCCCACAGTTTATAATCTTAAAAAAAACATGGTATGAAAAGAATATGGGATGGAAATAGAAAAGCAGAAAAATGAGTGCTTGGTAGGATTGTGGAAATGATTTGAAAAAGTGTTTTGGATGTCTTGCAAGCATGAGTATAGCATCTTCTGCCATTCAATGAAGTACTACATACTCAACTTCTTTCAGGCTTTCATGCAAGCCATACAGAAGATGCCACTACTTTAAGAGTTGCATTCACTTTAATGAGTAGTTGAAGCAGTTGGGCTGCTTTAATGAATGTCAGAGAAGTGCTGTAGTTGGATGAGCTCTGAAGCATTTCTGAGTATTTTCAAAGTGTGTACATCCTTGATCTTAGGCACCATTTCTTACACATACATACCTATGCAAAACATAGTAAAGAGCAAGAAATAATAAGCCAAAAGAATTAAAGGCGTGTAGTAAGAAAAGTAAAAGATTTCTAAATAAAATAATTAAATAAAAGCTAAATCTAGTTTATACCAACATCATTTGATATACTTCTCCATACTTTTCTGTCCTTACAAAACGTCTTTGCTTCCACTATGATCTTATACTGTTTCCTAAATTGCCTTTTGTTCTTTAAATTGTTCGCCCATATCTTTTTCAAGATCTCATCTCATCACTATCAATAACTACAACTTTTCCTTCTTGACCCAGTTACTCTTCCTGGCTATTGCGATTTGATCCTTATTTAGTTTCTCTGTGATCAAACCCCCTCAACATATTTTCTTCATATGAATCAGTCACTTTTGTATTTAATCCATATTTATTCAGCATCCATTCATTCATTCTTAACTCTCTTTTACCATAAACATTTCTTTAAAACCACATTCCCACTGCATTCAGCTTATTTTTATTGATATACTTATTATCTCTATGTACCAAATAACTTGTTCTTTGATAAATTAAATTTGCATCATACAAACTTATATTCATTACAAATTGTTTGGATTCTCAGCCAAGGACATGGCATTCATGGCAGTTCAGGGACATTCATGTCTCCTGTGAACACACCTCTAATGTTGCCACAAGGATTCCTTATACATTTATTCATATATATTAAACCACCAAGGGGATATCACACTTTCTGTTTGACATTGAATCATTCCATTCTTTTTTAAAATACATTTTTATTAAAAGTTTTAGAAAACATAAAAACTAACACAAACTAATAGAGAGTAGAAACAGGAAAGAAGAAAGGAAAGAAGAGAGAGAAAAAACAAAAATTCAGAAAAAGATTAAAAAAAAATAGAAGAAGCTTCTGATATTCTTTGCAGTACAATACGTATAATTGCAAAATTAACTCTTACCCTATGATTACAAAAAAGCTCACTTTTTTCTATTAACCATTTTTTTCTAATCATCAAAACCACAAATCATAAGTGCATTTTTCCCGTTTCATGCAAAAAGTCTGTAAGAGGTTTCCAGTCAACCATAAATGCAGATATTGTTTTTTCTGTGATCAAAGAGATTAATTTAGCCATCTCCACAAGTTCCATCACCTTCACCAACCAATCCATCATTGTAAGTAGTGTCGAACCTTTCCACTTTTGAGCATATAATAGTTGCACTGCAGTTGTCATATATAAAAACAAAGTTCAATGACTTTTTTCTAATTGCTTGTCCATTAGTCCCCCCAAAAACGTCTCTGGTTTCAGTAGTACTTTAACCTTTAAAATCTTCTGAATTAATGCATGCATTTGTATCCAAATTTTTTTGGCCTTTTTACATGTTTACCAAGCATGATAAAATGTCCCTTCCCGTTGTTCACATTTCCAGCAAACATTTAAAGTACCTTTATACATTCTAGACAATTTCTGTGGTGATAGATATCAATTATACAACATTTTATAAAAATTCTCAGGGTGGGAGGGAGGGAAGGAGGGAGGAAGGAAGATTTCTA